CAATTTTTACCTAACCATATGTACTCAATTATAAAATGACCTCCTATATAAGTCAAGGACAGGTTTGGGTGTGTGTGTGTGTCAAAATTATGAATTTTGATATGAGCCATGGATAGGTTGAGGGTAAAACATAGGGCACATATCCAAGGATGTAAAGGACAAAGCAAAGGAAAGCAGTGCCAAAATTCTAGCAGACTTAACCAATTGTGCTCACCCAAAGGGCTGGATGGATGAGGAAGGAACTACGGTAAATCATGGCTGTGAAATGTGGGGGAAGGCAACCAGGTACAGGAGGAGGAGGCTAAGAAAATGCTTGCATACCAAAAAAAGAAGCAAAGGGAAGCAAATGGTGACTACATTATTAGTGATTCTAGCCTTTAACTTAAATGTGATAACCCTGAGACTGATTTTAGCTCAGGAAAGCTGACAAACATACACAAATGTCTTATTCAAATACTTCAAAGCCCAGTTCCTCTCAGCTTTCATTTTAAGACAAGTGCCAGAGAGCTGCCACTGCTGCCATTTTCCTGGATTCATAAAAGTCAGAAGTGGTGCTGCAACAAAGAGAATAGAGGGGGTCATTGCTTCTTCTGTGTGCTCCTGGGTGGACTAACTTCTCACCTTCCACTGCTATACTCAGAAAATATGGTTATTTTTTATTGGAGTTAAAGTACAGCATGTACATTGACCAAGAGTGAGTCAGTGTAGCATAGTGGTTTGAGCTTTGGACTCCAGCTCTGGAGATCAGGGTTCAATTCCCAGCTTGGTCATGAAACCTACTAGGTGACCCTGGGCAAGTCACACTCTCTCAGCCTTGGAGAAAGACAATGGCAAACCTCTTCCGAACAAATCTTGCTAAGGGTTTTGCCTTAGGTTCACCATAGCTCTGGAACAACTTGAAGGCACACCGCAGCAGCAGCAGCAGCAACAAGTTCTTTATTGAATATGTCCACCCAGGGGTTTTTTTTGTTTGTTTGTTTGTTTTTGGAGGGGCAACTTTTTGACTAAAATTTCTAGACTTATGCATGAGTACATACAGTATACAGTACATTGTTTCAATTGTAACAGTAGATTTCTTGAGAAATTCAGTGTTCTTTGCCTAAGAAAGGGGCAGGTAGCTTCGCACAGGACAAGAACAGACAGCATCTTAAGGGAAATTACTTTTCAGTTGCTAATGGAGTTGAAATTTTATTCCCTGTTTAAATGTCTAAATGTCATGCTCCTGGAATAGCTAGAAGTTGCCCCTATCTACCCCTCTGTTTTGGGCCTCAGTTAGCTTTAGTATTCTAAGATTTACCTGCCTTGTGATGCACATCAACTCTGGAGACAATACTAGGGGCTCCAGGGTTTTTTTTTACAAACCATTTTTTTAAAAAAATGAATTTTATTTTTTAAAACATTTGAATTTTTAATTTTTAAAAAAAAGTTATTCTTTTAAAAATATTTAAAAATCACATCTCACCAAATTTTCACTTTAACAACATGAAACCAAATACATTTAAGTGCATTTAGGCTGTGCATATGATATTGAAATTTAAAGGTATAATTTTAATTCTGTTAGTTGTTTATTTCACAGTCTACCACTACATTCAGAGACATGCAGGAATTACAATTTATGAGTTAACGTTAGTATAAAAAAACATTACTAAGGATTCTGTATGGGAGGAGGTCAATTAGAAGGGGTGACACTGTGAGTTATTGCACTGGATGACATCAACTCTGCCCACTGATCTACCCTGGATGCATTTCCCATGCACAGCAGTATTCAAAACATCTGCCACCTCACTGGGCACATATACACTGTAGAAATAATACAGTGTGGCACCACTTTAACTGCCATGGCTTCATCCTACAGAATCCTGGGATCTGGAGTTTTGTGAGGTACCAGCACTCTTTAACAGAGAAGGCTAAAGACCTTGTAGAAAACTACAAATCTCAGGATTCCACAGAATGGAGCCACAGCACTTAAAGTGGTGTGAATCTTCACTATGTCTACACTGTAGATACATCCACTGCTTTTCAGCATAAATAGAACTTCATGATGCCTTCTAGCCCTAATAATAAATGTAGTGTGGATGCTGTGCATAAAAGGGTGTCTGACCTGAACCTTATAAGACTGGTAAAGCTAAAGGTATTCTCTGTTGACAGGGTTGTCAAGCCATGTCTGACTGTAGGGGGTGGTGCTTATCTCAGTTACTAAGCTGAATAGCCAGAGACTACTCTGTGAACATGTGGTCAGCATGATTGCACAGAACACTGTTTACCTTCCCACTGAAATGGTATCTATTTATCTACTTGCATTTGCATACTTTCAAACTGCTAGGTTGGCAGAAGCTGGGACTAGTGACAGGAGCCTACCTCATCATGCAGCACTTGGGCCTTGAACTGCCAACCTGCCAATCTTGCAATCAACAGAGTCAGCGTCTTAATCACTTGAGCCACTGCTTGGTACCAAACAAAATTGCTTCCCTCTTAAGACTGAACAAAACTAGACTGAATGTACAGTGTGAATATATGCTGTCAGTATATGCTACTTAGATGTGCGCAAATTCTCTCCTCTGTTAATTTCCTGTGGTTTTTTTTAACACTTTTAACAATAATATGAGATTGGAATTGTTCAATAGATAGACACCCCCTTTCTGTCTTTGGCTACCCACCCTTGAGTGTGAGAAAGGAGAGGAATGCAGGAGCTGTCACATTAACTGGTCCAGCTCTCTGGATTTTTAGTTTCTGATAAGTTTCTAAAACACATAGAAAATATTAAATGGTATAGTTAACAAATCAATGTGCATCTATTGTAATATTTTTTTCTTGCTGTTGCTTCTGCTCAGGAATCCCTTTATTTTTTTTAGGACTTGCATTAGGATGATTATGATTGTCATTTTCAGAGGCAGGAAAAACTTTCCCATTTTTCTGCTACTGTTCACCTGCAATTAGCCATGTCTCAGCTTTCGAAAGTTTCAGTTACACTTAATATTCACTTGACAGAACTCATCTGGGACAGGTGGTGATGTTCTGCCCTTGACAAATGCAGGTATAATTTATTGGCAGATTTCTGATTTGGCGAATGTCATGTTTTATGGGTGCGCTATATATACACATTATTTGCAGTTAGTAAAACTGAGCAAAGGGGAGAAATGGGGATTGGCTCAATTATGTCTGCTAATAGGGATTTCCTTCATTTTATTTAAAATTAAGGGGGTGCATTCACCCAGTTTTAGCAGTAAAGAACTTAATTTCTCTATTGTTCTCACTTCTGTGTATAAACAGTTATTTGTAACTGCTGTAGTTACTTCTAAATTCACACATGTACATCTGTGAATTTAGAACTAGTTACAAATAACTATATGGAATTTATTAAAAAAACAATATGTAATTCCTTTGCATGGAAAATTACTTAAGGGATAATATCACTTCTTCTGAAGTATAATTGTCATTTTCATTTTTTTTATAGTTATAGGGTGTGTGGTTTCACTGAATGCTGGTGCAGGGATATTACTTGGTCCAGGTTGTTATTCATGCTGCTGCCTCTTGCTCTGCTATCTGTGTTGAAAACTGGATGAGAGGAGAGTGTGTTTTGTACCTTGGGCCAGGGTTTATTAACATCTGGATGCTTTTTATTAAAAGTAATCAAAAGTAATAGTATCTTAGATACATATGAGAAAAATAAAGGTCAACAAGATAGTCCCTTGACATGAATGTCTAGTCATAACTGACTATAGGGGGCAGTGCTCATCTCTGTTAGTAACCTAAAAAGCCAACATTGTGCAAAAATGACTCAGGTGATCATGTAGCCAACATGGCACATGGAATGCTGTTACCTTCCCACCAAAGTGGTACCTAGCTATCTACTTGCATTTGCATACTTTTGAACTGCTAGGTTGGCAGAAGCTGGGAGTAGTGACAGGAGTTCACCCCATTATGCAGCACTCAGGCCTCGACCTGCCAACCCTCTCATCTTCTGATTGTCAGAATTGTCATCTTAACTACTAAGCCACCACATCAATTTACTATATTGGGGACCTCTGACCTAATTTCTGCAGGTCTAATTACTTACTAGTTACTTTTAAAGGTAACATTACAAGTTCTGGTGTGTATGTGTGTGTGCTTATGAACTTTCTTTGTTCCGAAAGATATTAGCAATGTCAGGAAGCCCCTGGAAACTACTTAGCTCTAAAGCACTCATTTTTGGAGTATTTCTTGTTATGTCACCATGGAGATTGATGCGGAGTGTTCTCATTTCCCAGCCTGAAATTGCCCACAGTGGCAGGAGAACTCAGGGTCAGACCCATTTTTAGGGTCATTTTCCCCACCTCCATGATTGGCTGCTGCTACATGTTTCTACCATGGCAATGATAAGTCTTTTACTTGAGGCCAGTGCTGCTATGAGACAGAGTTGGCCGTCTCAGGCAGCAGATTCTGAGTGCTACCAAGAAGAAGTAAATTCCTAACTAATTTGCTGTTGTTGTTGTTGTTGTTGCTTACTGCCAGGAATGAGAGTGGGATTTTCTGCCTTTTATCATAATAACCCACCTGGATTTGGATAAGATGCAAGTTGACCATGCAGCAAAATTTCTTCGGTTTGTATTGAGTAAACATTCTTGATAAAACATGCTTCACCTCTAAGGAGTAAAACTAAAATCCTTGGTTGGAGTGGGGCTCAGAGGAAATATTGTAGTAGATCCAGCTTTTTCTGATGAGTCTGTTCCTGAAACTGGAGTTGGAAATCTGCTCTTCCATTTCTTTGGCCTCTGTAGCTCTGCAAGGTTCTATTTTGTTTCTTATGTAAATTATCATCAACATGAAGATGCTGGGTAAAATAATCTGGAGATCTGGAACTTGCATGTCACATATTCATCAATTTCAGACTAGATTATTGTAATGCTTTCTACATGGATCTACCCTTAAAGAAGGTTTCGAAACTTCAATAGAAACTTGTCATTGTCATCCTCTGAGGCTGAAAGTGTGTGAGTTGCCCAAGGCCAACCAGTGGGTTTCCATAGCTGAGCTGGGATTTGAACCCTGGTCTCCAGAGTCAAAGTCCAATGTTCAAACCATTACACCAAGCTGGATCTCACTTCTTTCAGTGTAGTCTTTCAAGTGCTGCTTTTTAAAGGACTTTGTTAAAAAAAATATCCTTGACTACTGCTATTTTTAAAAACTGATGTTGTTTTCTGCTGTTGCCTAGAGTTGAACTATAAATATAATAATGTAAATTACATTGTTTAAATTTCAATTTATATTGCTTTGTACCTTGATCTTTCCCCTAGAAAATATCCATACAAATGTATCATACAAGGTGGGGAAAGTACTGAAATATGATAGGTCATTTCAAATAAGGGATTCTGGCAGACAGACCCAAACAACTTGTCCTTAGTGCTGCATTTGCTGTTTTGCCCCCCCAACACCCACCACATTTGATTGGTTAGAGAGCAGTACTTTGGTTGATTCAATGCTTTTGGCTTCTTTCAAGCTGCTCACCAGTATTTGCTTGCTTATTGCCTTGCCTATCTTCCTGCTTCAAAATTTACAAATCTTCTAGCCATTTTCTTTCTATTCAAATATTGGCTGCTTTCTGTGCTGTTATGTTGCTTGCCATCAAATTGCCATCAACCTATAGTGACCCTCTAATTGAGAAATCTCCAAGATCAAGATCCCCAGTCATCCACTTTCCTCCTCCTATCTTGCAAACTCAGGATTGTGGTTTCCTTGACTGAATTAATCCACCAGTGGTATAGTCTGCCTCTTTCCTTACTGCCCTACACTTTACAAAGCTTTTTGGGGTTGCCTTATCATAAAGTTTTCATGGTAAAAGACATTCAGAGGTGATTTACTGGTGCCTTCTTCTGTGCAGTACTAACAAATGTTAGTTATTGCACCATTGCCATCATCTTTGAGAGATCTTTCACCAGTGTTACTGCTGTACTGTAGCTATTTGACACATTTAATCTGACTTTTCAGCAAAAGCCTTTGTGACATGGGGGACTCCATCAACAGTAATGCTACCATCAACATAGCCCCTCGTTTCAGAGGAGATTACAATCCCACCACCACAAAAACAAGTACCAAAGTGCTACTACTCTTAAAAGAAACCCTGATCAACTCTGAAAGAGGGTTGAATTGCAACATTACAGGTTTCACTTTGCAAGTTGTGAACTGAAGGAGAATTTCCTTGTTCATTACTAGTACAAGCAAATTTGGGCATTGGGTAGCTTAGAAACACTGACAAAGCTAGAAGCAGTTCATTAGTCCCTGATTTGTACTCACCTTCTATCCAGTGGGGCCTGATTCTCAGTGTAAATGAAAAATGATCAAAATGAGCTTATTATGCTCTAGTTATATAGATGACTCATCTACTTAGTGCCTAAATGAGCAGGGAAATAACATTAACATGCATTCTTAATTATGCTATTGTTCTTCTGATTTTGCCCAGGGCTGGAACAGAAGGAACAAGTAGGTATAGGCATACAGCAGGCACCTTAGTGAAATAGGGAATTAATGAGCAAATGTGGGTAGAAGAAGAGGTGAACACATACCTGTTCTCCCAGCAGTTTTCAATATGGCCAGCCAGTCACTGTAAAAATGACTCACTTGTTCAGGTACTTGTAGAAGTACTGTGGAATTGTTAGGAAGAAACTCAAGCGATATTTGATGGGGATAAGAAGCATACTCATGGGTTTTCTTTTCCACATTGAAAAAAGGGTGACTTGAAGCATCAAGGCACTAACATTTAAAAAAAATGCCCAATCACTGTGAGATTTCATGCAGACACTGGAAAAAGCTTCTTTTTTACTACTCCAGAGAGAAGGACACCAAACAATGGAGTCAAATTGGAAGAAAAGAAATCACACCTGAATTTAGGAAGAATGTCTTGACTATATGAGCTGTTTTACAATGTAATAGACTGCCTAAGAGGATTCTGGATGCTACTTCTTTGGGGATTTTCAAATATAGCTCGCATAGCCATCTCTTGGCAGTCTATTCCTGCATTTATTTATTGGCTTTATACCCTGCTTTTCCCCCAGGATGGGATCCAAGGAGACTTCCAAAAAGTCTAAAACAAGATTAAATTAAAATCTAATTTTACAAAAAAAAAGATTAAATAAAAATATGTTAGAAACCATGGTTAAAACAGTTAAAACACATTTAAAACATAATTACAAATAAGAGATAAAAAATAAAACACAGTACAATAATTCACACATACCTGTGTGCCTTCAAACTGTTTTTGACTTATCACAGGGTTCTGACTTATCACAGGTAAGGTGAAGGGGTTTTGTTGCTAGATGGTGGAACAGACGGGCATGAAAGAATAGCCCGAGTTTGCTCTGGCCAGAAGTGGATTAGAACCCTGCTGTCCTTACAGCCCACTCCCAAGATAGGCTATGGATGCAGGAGCCAACCAGCACTGCCAGTAGTTGGACTATCCCAATTCCTTTTTGCTCTTGTCTTAAGGACTGGAGCATGGCTTTAATAATAATAATAATAATAATAATTTTTATTTATATCCCGCCCCTCTGCTAGGCAATCGGGGCGGCGTACAGCATTTCAAAACATCAAATGTGTGGTGTGGCATCTGGCTGCTTTGGAGTTATGTTTCATTTAATCAACATACCTCCAAAGTAGCTGGAAGCTGACCCATTTGATCATCTGTTTGGGCCTTTGGATTTGTTCAGAGGGGGATTGGCATGTGCCTTCCTCTGAGGCTGAGAAAATCTGGCTTGTCAGCCAATGGGGTTTCATGGCTGAGCAGAAATTCAAATACTGATCTCCAGAGTTGTACTCCTACACTTAAACCACTATAATATGCCAGCTCTTACACATACTTTTTGTTGTTGTTAATTGCTCTCAAGTTGATCTCGACCCATGGCGATCCTGTGGATGAGACATCTCCAAGACTTCCTGTCCTCTACTGTTCTGCTTGCTCCCTGCAGTCATACCCATGACCTGCTTAATAAAGTCCATCCATCTAGCATGCAGCCTTCCTGTCTTTTTACTTCCCTCCACCTTTCCTAGCATTATTCTTTTTTTTTTTTTTTTTAATGAGCTGTTCCTTCTCATGATGTGTCCAAAGTACAATAGCCTCAGTTTTGTCATCTTGGCTTCCAGAGAGATTTCTGGCTTGATTTGCTCTAGGGCCCATTTGTTTGTCTTTCTAGCTGTCCATAGAATCCTCAGTATTCTTCCCCAGCACCACATCTCAAATGAATTTATTTTCTTCATGGCCTGTCCAGGGGGTGGAGCTAGCCAACTAGCTCTATACAACTCCTCCCAGACACTTTCCAGGCCAGTTCCTGCCAGGAAGAAGGAAAGCAGATTCTGGGCAGCTGTTTAGTGTGGGTGAGTGTTTAAATTCTTTTTAAAAATACTTGGGGAGAGTGTGTCTGCTGCTGAGAAGGTGGGACTTTGGTGAGTCACATCTGTGAGTCAACAGGGGGTGGGACTAGCTTTATGCAATTCCTCCCAGAATTTTTCACAGGACAAGGGGAAGCACAGCACAGGTAGAAGGGTGGTTTTGACCTTTCTTTTTAGAGGTTCTCCTAACAATAACAATAACAACAATAATTTAAAGGGCTTTGTTTGTTTTTGCTCAGAGGAAGAGAGACAGAGACTTGCCTCCAGA